ATTCTAGGTCTAGTGTTAGTTCTACTTTTCGTTCAATAAAAATATACCACAATCTAGCGTTAACTATCATCTAAAACTAGAACTAGAAAGTTTCGGGTTTAGCCGTGCGTCTTCAGACAAAAAAATATACAAAAGGTATCTAATGATTTATATAGTAGATAAAAGGTGCCCTGAAGCTTTCTAATGATTACCATGAATATCAAAAAGTGTCTAAAAGGTTCCTATAATAATTCTAGAAGCTCTCTAATGATTTATATAGTAGTCAAAAAGTGTCCAGAAGCTTTCTAAATATTTCTATATTCGTCAAAAAGTGACCAGAAGGTGTCTAATGATATCTGTAATACTTAAAATGTGTCTTCTAGCTTTTTAATGATTGTCATGATTATCAAAAGGTGTCTAAACGTTTTCTGGATAATTATAAAGATTGCCAGAATATTTTAAAAGACGTACGAAAGGATCTAATGATTTCTAAAGTCGTCAAAAAGTTACCAGAAGAATTTATCTAATGATATCTATAGTATTTAAAATGTGTCTTCTAACTTTCGAATGATTGTCATAATTATCAAAAGATGAATTAACACTATACCTACAACTAGAATCATTTGGGTTTAGCCGCACGTCTCTAAAGACGGCTAAACCCGAATGATTCTAGTTCTAGGTATAGTGTTAGTTCTAGTTTTAGTTCAATTAAAATATGCAGCATAGTGATATCTTATGCTAACTAGCACTGTCGACCACTGTCACTAGATCTAACATTAGTCCTAGAACTAGAAACATTCAAATTTAGCCGTTTTAAGAGGCTCACTTCTAAACCAGAATGTTTCTAATTCTAGGTCTAGTGTTAGTTCTACTTTTCGTTCAATAAAAATATACCACAATCTAGCGTTAACTATCATCTAAAACTAGAATTAGAAAGTTTCGGGTTTAGCCGTGCGTCTTCAGACAAAAAAATTTACAAAAGGTATCTAATGATTTATATAGTAGATAAAAAGTGTCTTGCAGCTTTCTAATGATTACCATAAATATCAAAAAGTGTCTAAAAGGTTTCTATAACAATTCTAGAAGCTCTCTAATGATTTATATAGTAGTCAAAAAGTGTCCAAAAGCTTTCNGTTCTAATAGATTTTTTCACGTGGAATCCAATGGTGCACGTAGAATTTTTCTAGTCATCACGGTTTTTGAGTTATAAACACAACTCAAACACTGACTACTCAACTTCTAAAATACTTAACTCTTTATAACTCAAAAACCGTGATGACTAGAAAAATTCTACGTGCACCATTGGATTCTACGTGAAAAAATCTATTAGAACCCGTTTTTACGTTTCCGGATAACAGAGATACAGGAGGTGTCTAAAAATCGTAAATTTTGAAAGACTGCCTGTATATCAAAAACGAAGAGGGCTATGAAAATTTGGTTTGCGCCATTGTAAATTTCACAAAAAAGTAGCTTAGGTTCGTGAAAGCCGCAACTTTCTATCTTTCATAATAACTGAGATACCCAGCAAACCCATCGAAATTTGGACACCCTTTACTTGCACTGCCCCACATAGAATGCAACAAAGCTTAATAGTACAGGCATTGGGTAGTTTGGCAAAGGAAAAGTTTTGTTTGGAAAAAGGTGACGTCCTTATGACAAACCTGAATATTCGGCCGTCTTAAGAGATGCACAGCTAAACCCGAATGTTTCTAATTCTAGGTCTCGTGTTAGTTTTAACTAAACTAAGGTCTAGTGTTAATTATCGTCTGAAACTAGAACTAGAAAGCTTTGAGTTTAGCCATGCGTCTTCAGACAAAAAAATGTACAAAAGGTATCTAATGATTTCTCTAGAAGATAAAAAGTGTCCTGAAGCTTTCTAATGATTACCATAAATATCAAAAAGTGTTTAAAAAAATTCTGAATAGTTCTAGAAGCTCTCTAATGATTTCTATATTCGTCAAAACGTGACCAGAAGGTGTCTAATTATATCTGTAATACTTAAAATGTGTCTTCTAGCTTTCTAATGATTGTCATGATTATCAAAAGGTGTCTAAACGCTTTCTGGATAATTATAAAGATTGCCAGAATATTTTAAAAGATATACGAAAGGTATCTAATGATTTCTATAGTCGTCAAAAAGTGACCAGAAGGTGTCTAATGATCTGTAGTATTTAAAATGTGTCTTCTAGCTTTCGAATGATTGTCATGATTATCAAAAGATGAACTAGAATCATTTGGGTTTAGCCGCACGTCTCTAAAGACGGCTAAACCCAATTGATTCTAGTTCTAATGTTAGTTCTAGTGACAATGCAAGTGCAAANCACCTGTCAATAGGAGATACTCCTACTCCATTGAGTAAGTCTGTCAAGAACCACGGACTGTTCATGGATGAGGTCATGAATCAGTTGATTGGTCGAGCTTATGGCTCGTTAAAATTGATTTACTCTAATCGTTATAGTCTCGACTGGCACACAACAAAATTTGTATGCGACTCTCTGGTATTGTCACACTTCAATTACTGTGACGGGGTTTTTTTGGATTCCAGGCATCAGGGAAAAACTCGTACATCCGTTTAATTTTCGCCCTGAGGAAATATGATCATGTTTCTTTTGGTTTTAAGCAATTAAAATGGCTGAACATGAAATCTCGCAGATATCCACAAGGCCTGTTTGTATTATAAGGGTTATCACTGAAGGTACCCCTTCATACCTGCACGACAGGATTAAACTCAGAACGGTCGTACATGATGTTAATGTTCGCTTCAGGGGTAGACTAACACCTCCATCCCACCGGACAGAATTTTTCAAACGGTGTTTTTTTATCATATATACAATAATTTACCTCTGAACCGATTTAAAACAGCATTGAAATGTTGGCTGATGGATAGATGACGCAGGGCTTCTATGTGTAGCTAGCTGTCTATTTGTGCCTTTAACTTTTATCTCTCATTCTTCTATGAGTTTTCATTATTTCCTTGCAATTGGTATTGGTATCCTTTTTTCTTTTGTTTTGTTGTTTTTTTTTTCTTTACGGTCTTTCTTTCTGTTAGGTTGAGTGGAAGATCAGGGTTGGTCTGAATTCTGCCTATATGTTCGGGCTATTTCTCTAAATCGCATGCGGATTTTGTAATGCCCAGATATGTTCATTATGGTAATTATTTATATCATCTCGTGTAAAGTTTGATTTTACTGACTATTAATAAATTCGCTGCAGAAAACTTTAAAGAGTTATAATTTCGTAACTAATTGAAATAGGACATACAATGTGTTAATTACTTATCGTATCCGACGACATCATTGCAAGTATGCAACCAATATCACAGTGCAATACGCATCATACGCAAATCGCATATTGCAATAAAAATACTGTGATATTGGTTGCATACTTGCAATGATGACGTCGGGTACGATAATTAATTAACACACTGTATATTCATTAACTTTTTTTTTTAATAATTGGATTAGCTATCATATGTTAAATTTTGATAGTGAACTAATAAATCACCCTGTATTCAAAAAATTAAAAAAAAAAACTCGTTCGATACATCTCACTCGATTTTCCCTCTTGTTATAAAATTCTCGAGCTTCAATTCAACACACACATACACATACGAAGTATGTATGTATATTGATTGGTCGAGCATCGACATTGGAATTCCGAGTTTTCAACGTATGGAATACGTAAGTACGTTTTGCCCGCTGACTCCATCGTCGCTAACTGCATTTCTCAGTACTCGACTACGACCAACAGGAGAGTTAGTACAGTTCGGGTGAAATGCTTTCGGAATTATTATGCGCAAAAGTGGTCTTTAGAAATTTTCCCAGTTGCATTTTCGCACCGAAAACCTGCCGAAAACTGTATCTATTAATTTAAGCCGAGCAAAAAAAAAGGTGATGCGAAAGACGCGTCATCGAAACGTATTCCGTGAAATATGGGAAAGGTGGGTAGGGGACGTGAAACGACGGTCCAATATCTCCGTGAGATTCGAAGAAACCCAATATATATTCGACGTTTCAGAATGGGGCGATGTGACTTTAATATTTCACATATCTAATTTGAGAAAAGCTTTGGTACCGCGCTGGATGAGATTTGTAATAAATTTTGTTCGAGTAATATCACGAGAATCCTTTTGAATGTTACTTTTTTACTATACCTTTATATATTATAACACTTTTAATAAAAAATATATATATCGTAAGATTACATTTGTTGTACAAAATGTAATTTGTCGACTTCTTTTCATCATTAACTTGAAGAGTAGTACAATTTAAATCAAAAATTATTTGAGTCTTAAATTTATAATTACGCCTAAAATTAATTCGATGTACAGTNAGAAAGTTTCGGGTTTAGCCGTGCGTCTTCAGACAAAAAAATTTACAAAAGGTATCTAATGATTTATATAGTAGATAAAAAGTGTCTTGCAGCTTTCTAATGATTACCATAAATATCAAAAAGTGTCTAAAAGGTTTCTATAACAATTCTAGAAGCTCTCTAATGATTTATATAGTAGTCAAAAAGTGTCCAAAAGCTTTCTAAATATTTCTATATACGTCAAAAAGTGACCAGAAGATGTCTAATGATATCTGTTATACTTAAAATGTGTCTTCTAGCTTTTTAATGATTGCCATGATTATCAAAAGGTGTCTAAACGCATTCTGCATAATTATAAAGGTTGCCAGAATATTTCAAAAGACGTACGAAAGGTATCTAATGATTTCTATAGTCGTCAAAAAATGATCAGAAGGTATCTAATGTTATCTGTAGTACTTAAAATGTGTCTTCTAACTTTCGAATGATTGTCATGATTATCAAAAGATGAACTAACACTCAATCATTTGGTTTAGCCGCAGGTCTCTAAAAACGATTTTTTTAAATTTCCATGATTTTTAATATTTTTTAACACCAACAAATCTTTTAATAATACATCTTAAAATGATACAAACCTGTAATTGAATCACTTTTTATAGTAACATTGTTCTACTTATCAAATTTTATTCTAAACGCAACGTTTATCTTTGCAGATTCGAGTGGGAAAAAACCGAAAGTGGAGGCGTTTGTATGGAAATCAAGTGTTAAATTGGTAAGTCAACTTCTTCCTTCTATCTCTTGAAAGATACGTCTTTCGGTGAAAAACAGGAATGTGTTTAACATAATTTGCTCAATCTCTTTCGATAATGTCACCCTTGAACGAACCACCTTCATGCCGATTATTACTTCTCCCCCCTTCGTTTTAACCGGAAATAGAAGTGATCCGACTAGAAATTGCTTATCAAAATGGTAAACGGTGGTTTAACGTAATTTCCTCATTACACAAATTCGCCCTTTTCACCTTATTAATTATTTCCATAATCATTTTTTTTCCTTCATAATGAAGGCTTACATTGTGTACACGCCCTTTCACTTTCGGTCGTAAAGGCATAAAGAAGGTTTACGACTTGGGGAAAGGACGGATAGAAAATCGCGGGTGTCGTAAATCTTTATTGGTAATTTGAATATGAATGGAGCCACCAGCGGCTACCAACCGTAAATTGTCGTCGTAAGTCCGCAATTGATGTCTTCCGAATTGTAATAAGTACTAACGTCGAATGGTGAACGATTGGAAACGTTAAAAAATTTTTTTTTGTTGCGAAACCGGTTAAAACTAGATATTTCAACCCGGATCGGTTAATATAACAACCGGAACTTGATACTCAACTCGGATTCGAACAAATAACACCCGCCAATCGAAGCTATTCGTGGAATGGTTTGTACATAAATTCCTGTCGAAAACCCACTCAATATAAACGGGGAAACCGAGGCGTAAAGCATCGAAGCAACAGATCTTTTTTTGTCACGAAAAAATCTTTTTTTGAAAATCATATACAGGGTGGCCAAGCAAATCGACCATTATTCTTAATTTAACAGTCGAGTCAGTGACTTTGCCTAGATATATTAGGTCTTTGAAATATTTTGATCAAGCTCTCTTTTTAAACTTCATCCAGTCACTGCTTTTTGATGATATATATTACTTACATGTCATTGACGACAAGGTAAACTTGCTAAATCATTTGTTAATCTCAGCTATTGACATATATGCCCCCCGTGTGAGAGTAACTTCTGCTAAGGATCCGTGTCCGTCGCTTACTGATAATGTAAGAGTGATGTGAGACTTAAGAGATGAGGCTCTGTCAAAATTTAAAAAAGCAAAAAGTCAGTCTGACTATAAAGAATTAAGAAATGTTGTAAATACCGCTATTAGTATGAAAAACGTGCTTACATTACTCATGCTATACAGAATTCTTTTTTTTTTTTTTTATAATATAATAAGGTGGTTTCACAATGATACGTGGGAAACAAATGTCTTCCTGAAACTATTCACTGTTTATTAGAATATCTTCTTCTGCCAGGTTGTCTTGGGGAAGTTTTCTTTTTAGTCGAGTATGGATTCCTAGCTCTCCCAGGTGATGACTGCGTGCACTTGGACACTTTTGCAAATTTTCCAGATATTTCCTCGTNCTTTTCATCATTAACTTGAAGAGTAGTACAATTTAAATCAAAAATTATTTGAGTCTTAAATTTATAATTACGCCTAAAATTAATTCGATGTACAGTATGTTAATTAATTATCGTACCCCACGTCATCATTGCAAGTATGCAACCAATATCACAGTACTGGTATTGCAATACGCGATTTGTGTATTCACATATATTCAGTGTGAGATTGGTTGCATACTTGCAATGATGACGTCGGGTACGATAATTAATTAACACACTGTAGATACTCTACAGTGAATTTTACTTAAGATGCAATATAATAAAATATATTTCCACAGAAACCAGGATGTACCTATTTACTTTGTCCTAAATAAAATGCAACATGTCAGTATAATTTGAGATTACAGTAGAACCTCGATATAACGGTTTAATGCGGGAAAGGCAATATCCGTTATAGCTCAACAAAAATATAATAATCTAGTGCTGAATAACAAATAAAACTAGACTAATACTAGCATTAAAACTAACACTAGAACTAGAAACATTCCGTTTAGCTGCATGTCTCTAAAAACGGCTTAAACCGAATGATTCTAGTTCTGGGTATAGTGTTAGGTCTAGTTTTACACTTGCACTGTCACTAGAACTAACATTAGACCTAGAAACACTTATTTTCCGCTGTTTTAGTTCTTAAATCATTTGTGATTTTTATTATTTATTGACTATTTACCTGATGATGATAAGTATTTGTCGAAACCGGTCCTAAGTATATTCATTAAAAAACTGAGAAATCTCAGTTAAATACTCAGTGATTATGGATTTATTAGAATAGAATCATTTGGTTTCAATTTAAAATCAAATTCAAAAATTTTTAATTAATATCACTTATTTTATAATTATTATCATCTCTATACTGCATAATTAATTATCAAATTTATTATAGATTAGTAGGATTTTAAATTTCCTTTAATTTGACACCAAACACGATATATTTATATTAAAAAACAAAAAAGTTATGATAAAAAAATTAATGGTAATAATCCGCCATCTTTGATAATAATCAAACTTTAAAATTCGAATGTCTCGAGAACTAAACATGATGAAATAATCGAGTTTGTACTCATTTTGAAGGAAATTTAATTCAAAATCAATCAAGATAAACTTTATCCCAAACCAACTTATTATTATCTTTTATTATCTTTTTCTCAATAACTCAAAATAAAAAAAAATGTTTGTTTAAATGATTATAAATTAACACGAAATTGATCTTAATTTAAAATCGAATTCAAAAATTTTTAATTTAATTAAAAAGTTGTGATAAAAAATTAAATGGTAATAATTCGCCATCTTTGATAATAATCAAACTTTAAAACTCGAATATCCCGAGAACTAAGTATGATGAAATAATCGAGTTTGTACTCATTTTGAAGGAAATTTAATTCTAAATCAATCAAGATAAACTTTATCCCAACCCAACTTATTATTATTTTTTATTATCTTTTTCTCAATAACCGAAAATAAAAAAAATTGTTTGTTTAAATCATTATAAATTAAAAGGAAATTGATTTTAATCTAAAAATTTTTAATTAAATTAAAAAGTTGTGATCAAAAATTAAATGGTAATAAGCCGTCATCTTTGATAATAATCAAACTTTAAAATTCGAATATCCCGAGAACTAAACATAATGAAATAATCGAGTTTGTACTCATTTTGAAGGAAATTTAATTCTAAATCAATCAAGATAAACTTTATCCCAACCCAACTTATTATTATTTTTTATTATCTTTTTCTCAATAACCGAAAATAAAAAAAATTGTTTGTTTAAATCATTATAAATTAAAAGGAAATTGATTTTAATCTAAAAATTTTTAATTAAATTAAAAAGTTGTGATCAAAAATTAAATGGTAATAAGCCGTCATCTTTGATAATAATCAAACTTTAAAATTCGAATATCCCGAGAACTAAACATAATGAAATAATCGAGTTTGTACTCATTTTGAAGGAAATTTAATTCTAAATCAATCAAGATAAACTTTATCCCAACCCAACTTATTATTATTTTTTATTATCTTTTTCTCAATAACCGAAAATAAAAAAAATTGTTTGTTTAAATCATTATAAATTAAAAGGAAATTGATTTTAATCTAAAAATTTTTAATTAAATTAAAAAGTTGTGATCAAAAATTAAATGGTAATAAGCCGTCATCTTTGATAATAATCAAACTTTAAAATTCGAATATCCCGAGAACTAAACATAATGAAATAATCGAGTTTGTACTCATTTTGAAGGAAATTTAATTCTAAATCAATCAAGATAAACTTTATCCCAACCCAACTTATTATTATTTTTTATTATCTTTTTCTCAATAAACTAAAATAAAAAAAATATTTCTTTGAACATTATAAATGAAAACGAAATTGATTATAATTTAAAATCGAATTCAAAAATTTGTAATTAAATTGAAAAGTTGTGACCAAAAATTAAATGGTAATAATCCGCCATCTTTGATAATAATCAAACCTTAAAATTCGAATATCTCGAGAACTAAACAAGATAAAATAGTCGAGTTTGGACTCATTTTGAAGGAAATTCAAGTCTATATCAGTCTGAAAACGCACGGCTAAACTCGACACTTACTAATTCTAGGTCTAGTGTTAGTTCTAGTTTTAATTGTTATGCAGAGCTAGACCAAGAACTAGAATCATTCAGGTTTAGGCGTCTTAAGAAACGTACGGCTAAAACCAAATGTTTTTTCAATCACCTTTGAAAAATGTCACCTTTTTCCAATCAAAACTTTTCCTTTGCAAAACTACCCAATACCTAAGCTACGTTGGTTACTGTATTCACATATTGCTAGTTATATGAAATTTCCGATAGATACTTGTGTTATCCCTGGTGTATGGCACTGAGACGTGGGTTCTGTCACAGAGGGACCAAAAAAACACCTCGATCAGTTGCCTGCGCTGGATGGGACACGTCCAGAGAATGAAAATACCTGGACAAGGTGGAGGACGACACCAAAACCCTTAGCATCGTTAATTGGAGATTGATATCTTATAATAGATAGGAATGGCAGAAGATGCTGGAAGAGGCCAAAACCCATAGAGGGTTATTAGGCCATTGATGATGATGATGATGACTTGTGTTATCTATCAGCATATTAGTGTTCTAACTTTAACGGATTTAAGTTGTGATCAGAGTTTGCAGTCTGCAGGAGAGATATCATAAAATTAGCACTGTCAACTTATGAAAGATATCGACCCTTTGTGCCAAGTGGATAAAACTATATTTTTAATTGTATATTTGCTTCGATTCCTAAATCATTCTCGTTCTCTTGAAATCTCTTGGATTGGGTAAGGCAAAATGTATTGGCCAACTATTTCGTCACGCCTTCCCTTTGCCAAATTTTAATCACAATTTTAGTTTTCTTAGTTAGATACTAAGTTGATCGGGAAGTTGTATGATGACGTCCATCTTTTCTGACTTTTTAATCTTTATCAATCCAGACTCCATAAACTTAATAGCTGAGTCAAAATTATGGACATAAAACCCCAGAGTATAAGAGATCTGGGAGTTCACGACGTGGTGAGATGAGCGAAAGCACGACGTCGGCAATGAATGGACATCCTTATCTCAAGAAGGAACGAGACAGAACGGAGAGGATGATATCCTATAGCAAGAAGAAGAAATCTTGGTGGGTACGTACCGCAGATATTACTTGCCTTCGAGGTTGCAAGGGTAAAATTATACGACCTTTATAGGTTGAAGTGTTACGAAATGGGGACTTTGAGGTCTTTCTTATTAACAACGAAATTGAAACTAAATATGGATATCGTGAAATAATTTTGCAATGATTATTTGTAATAACCCACAAGATATATAATATTTAGAGAAAATCTTGAACGATTGAGGGAAAAAGCTTTGGGAAAAAATAGAGTGAGGATCCACCATAGATTTGTTCTATTTATTGTTTTTAAATGTAGATCACACATTAATAAGTGATTGAGGCGAAAATAATATTAGTGATGTTATTTTATATTAATTATGGTACAGATATAATTTTTTTTTCAACAATATGTACAAATATTTAACATCCTTATTTGCATACGGGGTTTGCTTGTTACTTTATTCTACATCCATAAAAACCGTTTGGTTCTCATATATGCAGATGGTACACAAATCAACTTAACCTAACCATTGTTGAGGGTTTTGTCTGTATGGGTAAAAAAGGGTTAGAAAGGTAGAAAGAAGGTTCTCTATACCTGCCCAGTGGTGCATGCGGTATTATAAAATATGTTTTTTTGCGAACAAGGGTCTGAACCAGACGTGATTACACGGGTTTTTCTGCATATTTCCGAGGGCATATGGGATCTGTATCAGATACGCGATTTTATGGGAATTAATGGTGCCTATGATATTATTTAAAACACGCTATCTCTCATTGTTCCCTTCACTAAATCATCCAACAACCCTTGACTGTACCACTCCAGGTCTTTTTATTACAATAACGATCCGTATAAATCATATATCGGATATTTATTTAAAGGGTTCCTCAAAAATCTTTTTTTTTGGGCATCTCCAGAAAAACATACCTTTTTATGTACTTGAGAAAGATATATAAAGTACTATATAACAACATTGTTTGAGATCGCGTGTCTTGAAGACTACACGAAAACTGAACCGCTTCCCTCCTCATATAATTAAAACAGTGCGTGCTCAATGAAGGCATTACAAACCCAGTAGAAAGCCCGAGGGCTATCGATTACCACGCAAACCAACCAACCTAACCATAATATCGCGCTATTCCCTTTTCCCCCGATGTCCGATCCTTTTTTCCCTTTCATCCTTTTTTTACTTTTCATTGTTTCACCTTCGGGCCGCCTCCTTTTTTCCTTCTTTTCAAGTGTATGGTAAAACAGACGGGTAGCGGCCGGACGTCCGTCTCAACACTGAAGACAACGGAAATGGAAAGGACGCCTGCACGGAGGCAATATGTTAAATAGTGGGCGGTTGTGGCATCTCCTCTCTTTATATAACCATGAATATTCAAAAGTAAAAAACTCCGACCTTCGGTTTTATTTTAATAATTAAAAAAATTTTTTTTTCATCGAAAATTAGGATATTCGGAAATGATAACGAAGTAAATGTGGGTTTTTTTAGAAATGTGGTTTAAAATACATTTTTTCTTCGAAAATGCACGAAAATTTCTTAAAATTTAGGAAGTGGATTTCCGTAAGCATTTAATTAATAAAATTGCGGTTTTATACACTACTTTAAATAGTGTGAGGAAATTTTTAAACATTTAGTTTTAAAACAATCATTCGTGTCATAATGTTGTATAAAATTGTGTTGTTGATTATTTGGATATCAAGTGCTCAGGTAATATATCGTTAAACTATTTTTATTATTTTGTAATTGCTCATATTGTGTTAATATTGATCAAAAAATGTGATCCATAAAGAATTTTAACCCAATTTTTAATTTTTTGTCATAATCCATAAAAGACTTAAATCTCAAAATTTGCACTTTCTATATTGGTTCTTATTATAACTCAAGAACTAAATCTGTTAGGGTGGAATGTTGTGTATCAAAATTGTTTATAAAGAATTAAAAAGTTATAATCCATAATTGTATTTAACCCAGCCATTTTTAATTTTTTGTTATAATTCATAAAACTTAAATTTCAAAATTTACACTTTCCATATTGATTTTTATCATAATTCGAGAATTAAATATGTGGTGCTGGAATATTGTTTATAAAAAACCATAAAATTATAATCCATAATCGTATTCAACCCAATTCTTTTTAATTTTTAATCACAATCCATAAACGTACAAATTTTCAAAAATTGACGTTTTTTATATTAATTTATGTTATAATTGAGAAACTAAGCATGTTGTCCAGAGGAAAAAGTTAATGAAAGTTGTTCGAAAAAACATCATCCATAAATAATTGCAACTCAATCATTTTTAATTTTTTGTCATAATCCATAAAATTGCTAAAATTTCAAAATTGACGTTTTCCACATTAATTTTTGTTATAACTCGAAAACTATCTATGCTGGGGTAAAACTTTGTGTATAAAAATTGTTTATAAAAAACCATCAAATTATAATCCATAATTGTATTCAACCTAATTCTTTTTAATTTTTAGTCATAATCCATAAAAGTACTAAATCGCAAAAATTGATGTTTTCTATACTAATTTATGTTATAATTATGAAATTAAGCATGTTGGGGGAGAATTTTGTTAATAAAAATTGTCCGAAAAACATGAAAGATACATAATCAATAAACATAATTATTTTTAATTCTTATCCATAAAATATAAATGACAAAATCTCAAAATTTATGTTTTTGATTCAAATCTTTATGATAACTCGAGAATTGAGTATGTCCAGAGGAAAAATAGTCTTAATGAAAGTTGTTCAAAAAAACATCATCCATAAATAATTGCAACCCAATCATTTTTAATTTTTTGTCATAATCCATAAAATTGCTAAAATTTCAAAATTGACGTTTTCCACATTAATTTTTGTAATAACTCGAAAACTATCCGTGCTGGGGTAAAACTTTGTGTATAAAAATTGTTTATAAAGAACCATAAAATTATAATCCATAATCGTATTCATCCTAATTCTTTTTAATTTTTAGTCACAATCCATAAAAGTACTAAATCGCAAAAATTGATGTTTTCTATACTAATTTATGTTATAATTCAGAAATTAAGCATATTGGGGAAAATTTTGTTAACAAAAATTGTTCGAAAAACATGAAAGATACATAATCAATAAACATATTCAACATAATCATTTTCAATTTTTATCCATAAGCCATAAATAACCAAAATCTCAAATTTTATGTTTTTGATTCTAATATTTATGACAACTGGATAATTAAGAATGTCCAGAGGAAAAAGTGTTAATGAAAGTTGTTTAAAGAAACATCATCCATAAATAATTGTAACTCAATCATTTTTAATTTTTTGTCATAATCCATAAAACTTCTAAAATTTCAAATTTGACGTTTTTTATATTAATTTTTGTTATAACTCGAAAACTATCCATGCTGGGGTAAAACTTTGTGTATAAAAATTGTTTATAAAGAACCATAAAATTATAGTCCATAATCATATTCAACCTAATTCTTTTTAATTTTTAGTCACAGTCCATAAAAGTACAAAATCGCAAAAATTGATGTTTTCTATGCTAATTTATGTTATAATTTAGAAACTAAGCATGTTGGGGGAGAATTTTGTTAATAAAAATTGTCCGAAAAAAATTAAAAATACATAATTAATAGAAATATTCAACATAATTATTTTTAATTTTTATCCATAAAACATAAATGCCCAAAATCTCAAAATTTATGTTTTTGATTCAAATATTTATGATAACTCGAGAATTGTGTATGTCCAGAGGAAAAAGTGTTAATGAAAGTTGTTTAAAGAAACATCATCCATAAATAATTGTAACCCAATCATTTTTAATTTTTTGTCATAATCCATAAAACTTCTAAAATTTCAAATTTGACGTTTTTTATATTAATTTTTGTTATAACTCGAAAACTATCCATGCTAGGGTAAAACTTTTTGTGTAAAAATTGTTTATAAAAAACCATCAAATTATAATCCATAATCGTATTCAACCTATTTCTTTTTAATTTTTAGTCATAATCCATAAAAATACTAAATCGCAAAAATTGATGTTTTCTATACTAATTTATGTTATAATTACGAAATTAAGCATGTTGGGGGAGAATTTTATACATAATCAATAAACATATTCAACATAATTATTTTCAATTTTTATCCATTTTTATCCATAAGCTATAAATGACCAAAATCTCAAAATTTATGTTTTTGATTCAAATATTTATGATAACTCGAGAATTAAGAATGTCCAGAGGAAAAAGAGTTTATAAAAGTTGTTCAAAAAACATCATCCATAAATAAATTGCAACCCAATCATTTTTAATTTCTTGTCATAATCCATAAAATTGATAAAATTTCAAAATTGACGTTTTGCACATTAATTTTTGTTATAACTCGAAAACTATCCATGTTGGGGTAAAACTTTGTGTATAAAAATTGTTTATAAAGAACCATAAAATTACAATCCATAATCGTATTCAACCTAATTCTTTTTAATTTTTAGTAACAGTCCATAAAAGTACTAAATCGCAAAAATTGATGTTTTCTATGCCAATTTATGTTATAATTTAGAAACTAAGCATGTTGGGGGAGAATTTTGTTAATAAAAATTATCCTAAAAACATGAAAGATACATAATCAATAGAAATATTCAACATAATTATTTTTAATTTTTATCCATAAAGCATAAATGACCAAAATCTCAAAATTTATGTTTTGCTTCAAATATTTATGACAACTTGAGAATTAAGAATGTCCAGGGGAAAAAGTGTTAACGAAAGTTGTTCAAAGAAACATCATCCATAAATAATTGCAACCCAATCATTTTTAATTTTTTGTCATAATCCATAAAACTTCTAAAATTTCAAATTTGACGTTTTCCATATTAATTATTGTAATAACTCGAAAACTATCCATGCTGGGGTAAAACTTTGTGTATAAAAATTGTTTATAAAAAACTATAAAATTATAGTCCATAATCGTATTCAACCTAATTCTTTTTAATTTTTAGTCACAGTCCATAAAAGTACTAAATCGCAAAAATTGATGTTTTCTATACTAATTTATGTTATAATTGAGAAATTAAGCATATTAGGGGAGAATTTTGTTAATAAAAATTGTCCAAAAAACATGAAAGATACATAATCAATAGAAATATTCAACATAATTATTTTTAATTTTTATCCATAAAGCATAAATGACCAAAGTCTCAAAATTTATGTTTTGCTTCAAATATTTATGACAACTTGAGAATTAAGAATGTCCAGAGGAAAAAGTGTTAATGAAATTCGTTAAAACAAACATCATCCATAAATAATTGTAACCCAATCATTTTTATTTTTTTGTCATAATCCATAAAACTGCTAAAATTTAAAAATTGACGTTTTCCACCATAATTTTTGTTATAACTCGAAAACTATCCATGCTGGGGTAAAACTTTGTGTATAATAATTGTTTATAAAAAACTATAAAATTATAGTCCATAATCGTATTCAACCTAATTCTTTTTAATTTTTAGTAACAGTCCATAAAAGTACTAAATCGCAAAAATTGATGTTTTCTATACTAATTTATGTTATAATTGAGAAACTAAGCATGTTGGAGGAGAATTTTGTTAATAAAAATTGTCCGAAAAACATGAAAGATACATAATCAATAAACATATTCAATATAATTATTTTCAATTTTTATCCATAAAGCATAAATACCCAAAATCTCAAAATTTATGTTTTTGATTCAAATATTTATGATAACTCGAGAATTAAGAATGTCCAGAGGAAAAAGAGTTTATAAAAGTTGTTCAAAAAACATCATCCATAAATAAATTGCAACCCAATCATTTTAAATTTTTTGTCATAATCCATAAAATTGATAAAATTTCAAAATTGACGTTTTGCACATTAATTTTTGTTATAACTCGAAACCTACCCATGCTGGGGTAAAACTTTATTTATAAAAATTGTTTATAAAGAACCATAAAATTACAATCCATAATCGTATTCAACCTAATTTTTTTAAATTTTTAGTCACAGTCTATAAAAGTACTAAATCGCAAAAATTTATGTTTTCTATACTAATTTATGTTATAATTACGAAATTAAGCATGTTGGGGGAGAATTTTGTTAATAAAAATTGTCGGAAAAACATGAAAGATACATAATCAATAAACATATTCAGTATAATTATTTTCAATTTTTATCCATAAAGTATAAATGCCCAAAATCTCAAAATTGATGTTTTTGATTCAAATATTTATGACAACTCGAGAATTGAGAATGTCCAGAGGAAAAAGTGTTAATGAAAGTTGTTCAAAGAAACATCATCCATAAATAATTGTAACCCAATCATTTTTAATTTTTTGTCATAATCCATAAAACTTCTAAAATTTCAAATTTGACGTTTTTTATATTAATTTTTGTTATAACTCGAAAACTATCTATACTAGGGTAAAACTTTGTGTGTAAAAATTGTTTATAAAGAACCATAAAATTACAATCCATAATCGTATTCAACCTAATTTTTTTAAATTTTTAGTCACAGTCCATAAAAGTACTAAATCGCAAAAATTGATGTTTTCTATGCTAATTTATGTTATAATTTAGAAACTAAGCATGTTGGGGGAGAATTTTGTTAACAAAATTGTCCGAAAAACATGAAAGATACATAATCAATAAACATATTCAATATAATTATTTTCAATTTTTGTCCATAAACCATAAATCACCAAAATCTCAAAATTTATGTTTTTGATTCAAATATTTATGATAACTCGAGAATTAAGAATGACCAGAGGAAAAAGTGTTAATAAAAGTTGTTCAAAAATCATCATCCATAAATAATTGTAACCCAATCATTTTTAATTTTTTGTCATAATCCATAAAACTTCTAAAATTTCAAATTTGACGTTTTTTATATTAATTTTTGTTATAACTCGAAAACTATCTATGCTAGGGTAAAACTTTGTGTATAAAAATTGTTTATAAAAAACTATAAAATTATAGTCCATAATCGTATTCAACCTAATTCTTTTTAATTTTTAGTCACAGTCCATAAAAGTACTAAATCGCAAAAATTGATGTTTTCTATACTAATTTATGTTATAATTACGAAATTAAGCATGTTGGGGGAGAATTTTGTTAATAAAAATTGTTCGAAAAACATGATAGATACATAATCAATAAACATATTCAACATAATTATTTTCAATTTTTATCCATAAGCCATAAATAACCAAAATCTCAAATTTTATGTTTTTGATTCTAATATTTATGACAACTCGATAATTAAGAATGTCCAGGGAAAAAAGTGTTAACGAAAGTTGTTCAAAGAAACATCATCCATAAATAATTGCAACCCAATCATTTTTAATTTTTTGTCATAATCCATAAAATTGCTAAAATTTCAAAATTGACGTTTTCCACATTAATTTTTGTAATAACTCGAAAACTATCCGTGCTGGGGTAAAACTTTGTGTATAAAAATTGTTTATAAAGAACCATAAAATTATAATCCATAATCGTATTCATCCTAATTCTTTTTAATTTTTAGTCACAATCCATAAAAGTACTAAATCGCAAAAATTGATGTTTTCTATACTAATTTATGTTATAATTCAGAAATTAAGCATATTGGGGAAAATTTTGTTAACAAAAATTGTTCGAAAAACATGAAAGATACATAATCAATAAACATATTCAACATAATCATTTTCAATTTTTATCCATAAGCCATAAATAACCAAAATCTCAAATTTTATGTTTTTGATTCTAATATTTATGACAACTGGATAATTAAGAATGTCCAGAGGAAAAAGTGTTAATGAAAGTTGTTTAAAGAAACATCATCCATAAATAATTGTAACTCAATCATTTTTAATTTTTTGTCATAATCCATAAAACTTCTAAAATTTCAAATTTGACGTTTTTTATATTAATTTTTGTTATAACTCGAAAACTATCCATGCTGGGGTAAAACTTTGTGTATAAAAATTGTTTATAAAGAACCATAAAATTATAGTCCATAATCATATTCAACCTAATTCTTTTTAATTTTTAGTCACAGTCCATAAAAGTACAAAATCGCAAAAATTGATGTTTTCTATGCTAATTTATGTTATAATTTAGAAACTAAGCATGTTGGGGGAGAATTTTGTTAATAAAAATTGTCCGAAAAAAATTAAAAATACATAATTAATAGAAATATTCAACATAATTATTTTTAATTTTTATCCATAAAACATAAATGCCCAAAATCTCAAAATTTATGTTTTTGATTCAAATATTTATGATAACTCGAGAATTGTGTATGTCCAGAGGAAAAAGTGTTAATGAAAGTTGTTTAAAGAAACATCATCCATAAATAATTGTAACCCAATCATTTTTAATTTTTTGTCATAATCCATAAAATTGCTAAAATTTCAAAATTGACGTTTTCCATATTAATTTTTGTTATAATTCGAAAACTATCCATGCTGGGGTAAAACTTTGTGTACAAAAATTGTTTATAAAGAACCATAAAATTATAATCCATAATCGTATTCATCCTAATTCTTTTTAATTTTTAGTCACAATCCATAAAAGTACTAAATCGCAAAAATTGATATTTTCTATACTAATTTATGTTATAATTCTGAAACTAAGCATGTTGGGGGAGAATTTTGTTAATAAAAATTGTCCGAAAAAAATTAAAAATACATAATTAATAGAAATATTCAACATAATTATTTTTAATTTTTATCCATAAAACATAATTTATGACAACTCGAGAATTAAGAATGACCAGAGGAAAAAGTGTTAATGAAAGTTGTTCAAAAAAAACATCATCCATAAATAATTGCAACCCAATCATTTTTAATTTTTTGTCATAATCCATAAAACTGAAATTTCAAAATTGACGTTTTTAATATTAATTTTTGTTATAACTCAAAAACTATCCATGCTGGGGTAAAACTTTGTGCATAAAAATTGTTTATAGAGAACCATAAAATTATAATCCAAAATCGTATTCAACCTAATTCTTTTTAATTTTAAGTCACAGTCCATAAAAGTACTAAATCGCAAAAATAGATGTTTTCTATACTAATTTATGTTATAATTGAGAAACTAAACATATTGGAGGAGAATTCTGTTAATAAAAATTGTCCGAAAAACATGAAAGATACATAATCAATAGAAATATTCAACATAATTATTTTCAATTTTTATCTATAAAGCATAAATGCCCAAAATCTCAAAATGTATGTTTTTGATTCAAATATTTATGACAACTTGAGAATTAAGAATGCCCAGAGGAAAAAGTGTTAATGAAAGTTGTTCAAAAAAACATCATCCATAAATAATTGCAACCCAATAATTTTAAATTTTTTGTCATAATCCATAAAATTGCTAAAATTTCAAAATTGACGTTTTTCATATTACTTTTTGTTATAACTCGAAAACTATCCATGCTGGGGTAAAACTTTGTGTGTAAAAATTGTTTATAAAGAACCATAAAATTATAGTCCATAATCGGATTCAACCTAATTCTTTTTAATTTTTAGTCACAGTCCATAAAAGTACGAAATCGCAAAAATTGATGTTTTTCATATTAATTTAACTCGAGAACTAAACTTGTTAGGAATGTTGAATAAGAAAAGACCCATGGAATTATAATTCATAATCGTATTTAACCCAATTATTTATAATTTTTCTCCATAAGCCATAAAATTCTTAAGTCTCAAAATTGACGATTTTCCATACTAATTTTTGTTATAATTGGAAAACTAAAGACGTTGGGGGAGAATATTGTTGATAAAATTTGTTTATAAAACATCAAAGATATATAATCAATAAGCGTATTCATCATAATTGTTTTCAATTTTTATCCATAAACTAAATGTATCCAAAATCTCTAAATTTATGTTTTTAATTTCAATTTTTGTTATAACTCAAAAATTAAACATGCCCAGAAGAGAAAATGTCAATAAAAATTGTTTATAATGAATCAAAAACATCATCCATAAACAATTTTCCAACCCAGCCATTTCTTATTTTTGTCATAATCCATAAAACGACTTAAATTTCAAAATTGATATTTTCAATTATAACTCGAGAACTAAACATGTTAGGGTGAAATGTTGTATATAAAAATAATTTATAAGGAACCAAAGAATAATAATCCATAACCTAAAATCTTTTTAATTTTTGTCCATAATCCTTAAAATTACTAAATCTCAATGTTAACATTTTCCACATTAATTTTAGCTATAACTAGGAAACGAAACATGTTGGAGAGAATGTTGTTAATAAAAATTGCTTGTAAAACATCAAAAATGCATAATCCATAAACGTATTCATCATAATTATTTTCAATTTTCATCCATAATCCATACAATCCCAAAGTTTCAAAGTTAATACTTTTAAATTTAGTTTTTATTATAACTCAAAAATTAAAAACTTTTAGAATTAACACGATATGAGCACCAAATTATAAAATATATTTCATGATACATATTTTTTTAACACTTTTAGGGTGACATCCCAGCCTATTTCTTCCAATTATTTTCATTCGAATGTCCAAAAGGATTTATTCAAAATGGATTGAATTGTCTGATACCCAGCCATAATTTCTGCCCGGATATAAACAAGTTAAACACTTTCTATTACATCACTCCCAAGAAAAACAATGACTTAGAACACGTTATTAAAAATAGCAAACATTTTTGCAAATACTCAATAAGCAAATTTTTTGAAGTGGAGAATTCAAATAATTGGGTGACGATTAATTTTGCAACCGATGAAGACACAAATAAACCGAATTTGTATCTAGATGTAATTTCTATTGAAGAAATAAATAATTTAGATAAGAAAGTTCATTGTTATACGGATAGATATGGGAAAAATATGCGTAAAGTTAAATTAAGCAATGTTTTTAAAGTAGAGGGCAGAACAAGATTTTTGTTAGAAATTGATGATACTCTTTCGAGATATGTTTGTTATTTTTTGGACGCTGGAAAAATAAAGCCGAAATTTACCGCACCAGCTTTGGCAAGTACACGAGCTAATAACATCTTTATACCAGATTACGAACCATCTTGCATCGATGATCTTGAAAACATCACATCGATAAAATCTTTTGAGAAATTAAATGACGATTTTATAAACAAAGAAAACATCGACGATTTAATCACAAACATTTCCGATTTAATTGTACCTTTGGTATGTTTTGGATTAAATACTAACATTACAAGCGATAAATATTGTTTTCCAACTGTTAGTGGAAAAGAGAACGAAATTAATTGGCCCTTAACACCAGCGATGTCTTGGACTGTACCATTCGAATCTTGTTATGACGAAGTAGGTGATCCAATAACTAGGAAGTGTATTTTAGATGAAGATGGTCCTCGATGGGAGGAAGTTGTTAATGATTATTGTGAGATAAATGATTATTATGATGATTATGCTTTTGAAGATATGGATCAATTAGAATCTGCCGAAGTTTATTAAAATGCCGAAATTAAAATTGTAATTTTAATAAAAATAAAAAAAATAAATAAACTCACTTTTAATTGATGAAAAAAATAAATCTCAAACGAAAAAAAAATCTGTTGTAAACATCTCACCACACCAAACGTAACTAACCCTTTTTTAAAAAGTACAAACCTTTTTCGACATCCCTTCAATTATTATTGGCAAACCTTTGAGGTAGAAAAACGCCCAGTATTGTTGTGAGGACCATCCCCATCATGTGGTACAACCCAAAACTGTCCCTTCCTGTCCCTTTTCCTCCAATGACACGGTTTCAAACCCCCTACATTAAACGAAATTAACATAAAAGAATTTTATGCACAACAAATTATTTATATTATTTGATCGAAATTGAGAAAGCAAAAATTTTAAAATTAGTTACAAGAAAATAGGAATAAAAAGTCGATTCAACCCACGTGTACCATTGTGTTCATCCTACTTATGTTCGCTCACTAACGAAGCGTATGTCACACCTGGTCTCAACCTAATTTGAATTTTTCTTTGGTCACGTGGGTTGTAGAATCGGAGGAGGGCAAAGCAGGAAGGGTTGGGATGCATACATTAAAAAGAAGCATCTGCATCCGCCCCGTTTCATCCTGGACCCTTGGAGGATCATTTGGACCTTCATCGTCATCGGTGAAAGGCCGCGGCAGGTGTGTCACCTATTTTTTTTTTATCTGAAATTCCCGAACCCCATTAGCTTATCTGATTACGAGGATAATGTGCGGGCGAAAAGAATTTTAGTGTCACACCACTAACCGAAAGTTTTCTTCCCTTTTTATTCAGATTGGGTTTCTATTCTCCCTTTCGTAAAACAATTTTTTTGTATACATTTTTTTTTGGGTTTTAGTCTCAGGTAGAAAAAGGTGAAATGTTCTTTTGTGTACGAAGAAAAAGTGGGTCAATTGATACAAGTCATCGACCCTAAAAGGGGTTCATTTACTTCCGATTTCTATATTAACTCAAATTCAAGTTTTATTTTTTAAAACAATTCTGATTTTCAGTTTTTTTTACAGCTTCTACTAATCACCTCAATTTCATTATGTTAAGATAAACTGCAAATATGTACCAAGGACAATCAATTATTCAAAATCTCCTTTTACTATCTTGTGCTGTTTTGCCGAATGACTTAACTGATTTTGAGGTGATTAATACATTTTTCTTTCCACTCCTGTTATTAGTATCCTCAAGAGTTGGTTCTATCGCAGCTAAAAAAATGAAATATTTGTTGCCCAAATACATACTTGACATCTATATCATATATTCCTGAATACAACCTGGTAATATCAGTACCAACACAGGATTTGCAACCTATTACAATACTTTCAGCATTGCTTAAGTTACTTCAGAAGTGATTGTTAACCAGCTTTGTGGTCATGCCCACCATCATAATATTTAACTTTCCAGACAATACGGTTTTAGAAAACACTATAGCTCAGCTACTGCGCTGCTAAATCTAACAGATGATATGTTTAGATACTTTGTTGAGGAAAAGTCAATCATCGTAATTCTCTAAAACTTCACTAAGGCTTTTGACATATTAATACTACAGTATGTCCACGGAATTTTATCGAAAAATGTTAATGTTGATAAAAAGTTTTGCTAGTTCTTAGAGTAAGATTGGGATAGAAACATTTAACATATTTTATACGCGGTGTTCAGAAAATTGAAAAAACTTTAAATGGAAAAAATCCATTAATTTAAATCTGGACTCCTAGTCTAACCATTGTCTAACCGTTGCCGAATAATGTGCTGGGCATCCATCTTGTTGAAAATAAAATGAACGACTGTATTCTAATGGAAGATTGTCTAATTCACTGTCGAGGAAGTTTCTTAACATAGCTAAATAGCTATTCGCATTACAAGTAGTGTCAAAGAAGTATGGCCCTATTCTAAATATGGCACTACTCCAATATCGTGCATGTTGCGAAGCCACACCATTGGTCGAAAAAGTTGATTCATCAGAAAACATTATTTTCTTATGAAATCCTCTTTCCATACTGCCAATCCACAAACAAAAATCCAAACGTTTTGCTCCATCGCCGATTTCCAAAACATGATTATAAACTGGCTTGTATGGATGTATCTTGTTGTGTTTTAATATCTTCTGAATTTGCGATTTTTTAACAAATTGGAGTTTTTCAGCTCTTCTTCTTAATGATAATTTCGGGTGTACATCATTTTCATCGTATCTCTTCTTTTCTCTAGGTATTCGCAACAATGACCCAGTGCTTAAAAACTTCAAAATTATTTTACGGCAAGTAGTCTCAAAAACGTACACATTGAGGAATTTTTCATTAAAGTCCTGAATAACTCGACGATAACATTTTTCGCCTTTCCCATAATATTGCAAAAAGTAAATTTTTTGCTGTAAAGTAAGCATTTTAAGCTGACAATACTACGGCTAATAAAGTATAAAAGCGTCAATAAAGCTTGTAACTATCAACGCCTACTAGTACAAAAATGATCACAAATAAATAAAAGTAGGCCGATTTTTTCGAAAATTGGTATTAGAGACTAACTTATTTCCATATCTTTTCAAATAAATGCACTTTACTTTTGTACCATTTAAAGTTTTTTCAATTTTCTGAACACCCATCTTACCCTAAGAACTAGCAACATTTTTTGTCAAGATTAACTTTTTTCGATAAAATTAAAAATAAAAAAGTTTTTCCTATTCAACACCTTTTCCGTAGACATACTGTATATATATTATCTTGTGGATATGTGGAAGTCACTCAAGATAAATGGTGATTCACCAACAGTTTTGCTTATAAATCATAATAAAACGTTAAGATTTTTTTGCCTTAAGAAGTAATTTAAAGTATTTTAATACTTGAAAGTTCTGCTAAAATCTTTTGATCATCTCGGAATGTTTTATAGTAGAGGCATAAGCTTTGTTTTTGTGTAACTTTTTTTCATTTAGATCCTTGAGCGATTTTCAGACGGAAGTACCTCGAACATAAAACTGCAGTTAGAATATTGAGCATGTGGAGATGATTTCATGATGATCATGAAGCACGTGACAGAAGCTCTAGACAAGGAAGCGTTAAAAGTTGCTGACACAACCTGCAATGGCAAACCGTGCTATAACGCAACACTATTTCAGTTTGCCTTTACTTAAACATGAGTAAAGTTTCTTTCAATCTTGGGAAGGAGCAACTTGTTGCAGCTCTCAATATGGCACACATCCGTTATCCACTAATTATTACGTTAGAGCAGTATTATGTCAGTCTACGAACATCGATGAAGCCAACTTGTTTGCTACTGAAGGGTTAACTTAACTTGGGTTGGCTTAGGTTAAGTTGGATTGAGTTGGGTTGTGTATGGTTGTACTATACTTAAAATATCTAAAACCACGAAGCAGTTGAACCTGCAATTAGCTGAGAACAAAACGGAAATGACTATTTCAAGGGCAAGAATAGATTAAAACTAATGGAGATAAAGGTTCAACAACTGGACTGGTTTTTTGGACAAAAATCTGCGTATGGTGGAGAACTTAAAAATGGTAACCGAAAAATCTTCGAAAATACTCAACAACCTAACGCTGTTTATGTTCAAAAAAGAAGTGCTGAAATCTTCTATCTAAATATACCCATTTCCATCAGAAAAGAAAGCAAGAACAGAAAGTATGAAGAAAGCAACATGACCAATCTCATAGTCAAAACAGAATTAAGAAGGAATAAGAGCCTAACAAATTTATGCCAAGACAGTACTACACAAGCTGGCCTAGGTAGTTCAAGTTCCTTAAGGCCAAGGTAATTTGAGGAAATTTTGGACGATAACCCGAATCCTTCCTCAGCAGAGTTTTGTACTCTTAGCGGAAGCACAGTTTTCACCTTCCATCACTAATCTTCATCGTCATCACTCTTCTTTATGATTAGATTGGGTTGGATTAGGTTGAATTGCGGAATGAAATTATTCTACTTCCGACTCTATGGGCATTTGTAGCCTTATTTCAAAGATGTTAAGTTTGAGGTTATTGCAGATTACTCGTCCCTTATTGCTTCAAAACCTCAATTAATCTGTAAGTGGTTCGACTTATTGAGAAGCTCGAATGCAATACGATATCCGTAGTATCCATCGTAATGCAAAAGAATAGGTTGTTCCATAAGCTATTATTAAATTGAATAAGTTTGACACAAGTGGGTGAAATGAGATACAAATTGATTCTCAGTAAGCTATTAAGATCTTCTAATTGTGTAGTATCTGGTGATCAACATTATAAATATATTAAGGAAGATTTAATTAGAGTTTTATCCTTAGCGCTTTTTATCCACTTTGATATACTGTTTCTTTGACCATGTATTGAGTCGTTGAGCAGAAGATATGAGGTACTCCTCATGTATATGGTATCCTTAATATGTATTCGCTAAAATTAGATATTCTTGAAAGAGAAGTAAATATTGAAAGTGTAAGACTGATTAGACACTTGACGAAAGTCTAAACACTGAGTTAAATGTTGAAAATAGACTACTAGAGCCTGAGGCAGAGCAGTAAATACTGAAATGAAAGGATAGATACTTTTGGCAAAGGATTAAATTCTGAACATAGAAGTATACGCGCTCTTGACAGAGGACTAAAAATTGAACAGATACTCTTGGCAGAAGATTAAATACTGTTAATGGAAGACTATGTACTGTTCGTCAAAGACGAAATACTGTTGGCAAAAGACTAAATACTGTTGGTAAAGGGATGCTATAACCTCGTTATAAATTACCGAAATACCTGATAGAACCTGACGTAACTATAATACATAATAGAAGATAAGATACCGTTTGTAAAAGACTACTTATCGCTTGTAGAACACTAGACGCTGTTAGCAAAACCACAAAAATTAATTTATCTTTACTTAAAGTCCTAAATTCTATGAAAATCATAAGTGAGGTTTTGGCTAAAGGACCACTTTTATATTGCGATCTCGCTAAAATTTAACAGCTAGTTTTTGCAGTCTACTTTACAATGCAGTATCTACATTTTTGACGCAACTATCGAATCATCCGCAAACAAATCTAGTCTTTCATCTTCAGTATATAGCCCT